ATACACATGATCTAACCTCATACTATGTCCTAACGGGTTAGACACTAGTATAGGTTGTTCCAATTGTTCTTTCATTATGTCAGCTTTTTCAGGCATATGTACACAGATATAAGACAACGTTGATCCAGGGTCTATCAACACATGCATGACAGTATCAAATAAGGAAAACATACCCTGAATGACGTCAGGGTTTTCCTCATCTCGTGCCTTCATTGCATAAGTTCGAGCAGGAGCTCGTCCCTGTTGCTGACTCAGGTTCTTGGCCGGATTAGATCCCGCCGTTGATCGTTGACTTGGCGCAGGTCGTGCTGATGCTGATTGGCTGACAACTGGGGCTGTCGGAAATGGTTTGCAGGATTAGTGGGGCAATCTATTCGAAAATGTCCAGGTTTGCCGCAACCTAGACATAATCCTTGGGCAAGCCAACACTCGCCTGGATGATGTCTTCCACATGTATCGCACAATGGGTGTTTCCACCCTTTTGATTTGTTTTCTGATGCCACAGAGTGCGTCTACAACGATTTCCCCTTCTTTGAGAAGTGTGAATTGCTAGATTCCTGGAAGGGCCTTTTTCCTTTTGAGATAGAGCTGATGGAACGGTGAATTCTTGAACTGACATTATTTGTCTTCAGATACTCAATGCAAGCACTCAAGTCGCTGTCTGCCCTGGCTATGAGATCATAGGCCTCCGCGAAATCCACGGTGGTTAGGACGGACACACGCGACCTAAGGTCAGGTCGAAGTTTCTTCTTGAATTCCTCGATGCGATCGGTTGGGGTACTCACCAAGGTTGGTGCAAACTTAGCAAGACTGGTAAACTTCTGACGATACTCGGGGAGTGTCATGTCTCCCTGTTGCAATTCGACAAATTCCTTACGTCTTTCTTCGCTAAAACGTTTTGGAATATATTCTTGTTTGAATGCCCATTCGAAATGTGCCCATGTCCAAGGCTTAGGGGTTCCCGCACTCTCATCGGTCCTCTTCCACCACTCGTAGGCTTCCTTGCGAAGTAGCTGAGACGCCAGTCGGGGATAGTTGCCAATGGGTACATTAAGATCCTCCAACACTCGAGCAGTCTGCTCGATCCAGTCCCATGCAATTTGGGGTTCACCGATGCGATCCCCAAGGAATAATTCTGCACCGTTATCCCTTAATGTTTTGTAGGTTATCACTCGTGGTGGCGGTGGTGGAGGTGGTTGAAACATTGGTGCGTTGGCTA